TGCCGCCTTTCCACACATCACTGATACTCCCTCCGACGATGTTGATCGAGACAGACGACGCACCACCGCCAAAGAAGCGAGTTACTATAATTGTAGCAAAATTTTGGGCGAAAGCTGATCCGAATAGCGTAGCGACCAGAATAATATACGAGACGAAGTACCCAGGCATGCGACCGGAGGATTCGGTGAGAGGCACGAAGATCAACGGCCAAAAGGCCGCACCCATGTTCCAGGAGGTAGTAGCCCAGTAGAGGTTAGGGAACGGAGAGTTCTGGACATGCCATTCTTTTTCCATCCAGTTATTCCCCGATCCATACGTTCCGGCTGGCAGACCAGTCAGGATAGAACTATAGAGTCAGCATCTTGCCCGTCTGTGCCGAATTGAGCACAATTGCAAACTCACATGAAGCAGACCGTCAAGGTAAGTAGCCATTTGTACTTGGGACTCCAATTGAATCTAAATCTCTTAGCTGACGTTTCTTGACTTCCCTTCTCACTTACGGATTATCAGGGTCATCAGGCCCATCCCAACTGTGAATCTCGATATCTGTGCTATCCCGTATCTCGCCACTAATGTCCTCGATACCAAGATATCCTTTAATTCTGAAAAGAGTCAGTATCTCAACACTATTCCGACTGCATCAAACCAACCTGTCCGTCAGACTTTTTTTTGGCAGTTGGGTGTTCGTCGCAGAGTTTGCGGGCCTTGCGTCATTGACGGGTTGTGACGAACCCCCATTACGGGCCTCTGGTTCTGCCATCTCGAAGCCAATTCACATTCAATGAGACTATAAACCCCCAATGGTGTAGGGATGAAGAAACACTTATGAATTGAGAAAACAAAAAGAAATGCAAGACGAAAAAAAAAAAATTTAAAAATCTATGCTCATCGTCAAGTGATCATGACCATTGTACAACCGCTTCGGCATGCCGAGAACTCCGCCCGAGACGGCGGATCAGGGCTGCAATTGGCTCTGGCCCGCCCTATGCCGTCATCGACTGGGACAGATCGATGGCAAAGTCTCAGGTTGGCTGATCCAATTCTCGGGGATTTGATCATCTTGGGTTCTTACGTCCTGTGGCGCGAGTTAATCTCTCCAGGCGATCCGATTGTGCCCCTGTGAGTAGTAAGCAGTGTTCTTTCATTGCCACGGATTATTCATACGGATGGCTTATTCCGTTTACATGACTGCCTTAAATCCGTGTATACCCACAGCTCTGAGCAGTTAGACTGGAGGTTGGCAGGTATACGTGTTGAACCTTGTTCGATCAATTCCTGTACTCTTTACAATGTAACTAGAAGAATAGCAAATGGATCGTTATGGTTGGACACTTTTGGAAGCTTAGCCACTCGAAATGCGCAGTGCTCAATAGAAAATTATATTAAGGTGATGCACTCTGCAGTAGTTATTAGACTAGACAGTATAAAAGAGTCCGTACTATATTACTTGGTATAAAAGATATCTTTCAAATCGGACGCTGTATGTAGGGCTGGCTAGCAAAATTACTTGCGCTGTGCTTGCTGAACTGGGATAAAAGCTACGCAGCATGACATAGAGGCACAGGTATTGTGATCCAGTTATGAGGTGCGCAAGTGCCCTTTCCAACTTTGGGAATCAATCTGTATACAGGTCTCCTAAGACCATTTCCTTGCGAGCAGCAAGTCAACATGATCTATCCTTGCTTTATATTGTAATCGATATGTTTATATATGATCGCTTAGCTAGCGCCGGCGCTTGTGATAATCATTATATGCATATTCCTAAGCTATGGAGTTTTTATTGGCTCTTCCGACCCGGGTAGCTTCTATTCACATGGCGTACAAGTAATATACGAATATCTCATATTTTGACCTAATCCTGTTTGGTCGCTACTTAAGCTTCTTGTGACTTGACCTGATAAGACCAGACGGCCTCCTTGCTCACAATGGACGCATTGAAACTCCTAGCAGTGATAAAATTACAGTCAGTAGTTGGTTATATGTATACAGAATAATCAACTAATAGTAGATGTTTGTAAAATGATATGAATACTCCTGGTGGCCGGGGTTAGCAAGTTGTGCGACAAATGACATCATCATCCTCAGCAGCCATATAAACAGGAGATGTGCAGCCTATGTCTTTCACACATACAACTTACGTATTTACATTATCAATTATTGGAAACTTAGGCAGAGAATATGCAACCCCTAGTCAACGAACACGCGCTCATCCGCGGCACACGAATCGCCTATGGCATCTATGGAGAAGAAACCGGAGAACCCGTCGTCTTACTACACGGGACACCGTCCAGCTCTCTCATCTGGCGAAAGGTTCTGCCTCATCTAACAAGCGCCCATTACAGAGTCCATGTCTTTGACTGGCTCGGCTACGGGCTCTCCGAACGTCCCTGGGATCCATCCATCGATACCTCGATTTCGGGCCAGGTGCCAATCCTGGAGGGTCTACTGGCGCACTGGGGTCTGGAAACAACCCATATCGTAGCCCATGATATTGGCGGAGGGATTGCGCAGCGCTTTGCCATTTTTTCGCCGCAGAGGATTCGTTCCCTTACGCTTGTTGATGTGGTCAGCTTCGACAGTTATCCGTCTGCGAGAACGAAGAAGCAGATGGAGAACGGGCTGGAGGCCCTGATTCGGGCGCCTGATGCGAAACATCGCGAGCATTACCGGGATTGGTTGCTGTCTGCTGTGCAGAAACGCGAGCAGTTCGAGAGTTCGAGTCTCGAAACCTTTCTGGGATATATATCTGGCCCCGTCGGGCAGGCAAGTCTCTACCAGCATCAGGTTCGGTTCTATGATCCGAAACATACGCTGGAAATTGCCGCTAGGTTGGGTGAGCTGGGGAAATTGCCTGTTAAACTGATCTGGGGTGCGAATGACGGGTGGCAGGTTCCTGATTGGGCGCATAAATTGCATGAATCTATTCCTGGCTCACAGGTCGGATTAATCGAGGATAGCGGGCACTTTTCTCCAGAGGACCAGCCAGAAAAGCTTGGGGAGTTACTGGTCACGTTTCTGAAGGAGCGTTGATAGTTGCCTTGGTTGAGGGCAATTGCTTCTGTCATTTACCGATTAATCCGCTGATCCGATCACCAAATAGTCTTCACATCCCAACCCTTGACCCGCACGCGGACCCAAAGAAAGCACGCAAAAGACGCCACATAGCTCAGTCCAGTGAACAAGATCACACCCCAGAAGCCTCTCCTTCCCCCCTCAGTAGCCGTGATCAAGCTCCCCGCAATCGGAATGCCCGTCAAACATCCGATACTGGCAACTGTATACGCACTCGCATAGTACCTCCCGTAGTCTTGAGTGTCGCACAGCTGCCCCAGACACACAGGCATCAGGCTGATATTCGAACCGCTCGCAAACCCAAACACAATCACAAACATGATCATTAGCGCCTTACTCGGCGCCGTTCCCGCTAATGCGTCCGGTAGCCATAGCCCAATCACAGCAGCCAGGCAGACGAGATTCGATACGATCATGGTGTTATACCGGCCGCTTTTATCCGCTACGTAGCCGATAAAATATCGTCCAAAGCAGGATACTGCGTTTAAGATGGCGAGGAGCTGGTACGCGAACGCTGCAGCGCCACTTACGGCCTCGGCGTTTGAGAGGCCCTGCCGCGTAAGATAGTAGCTGGGAACGTAGGTGACGGGGACGAAATACGCCCATTCGATAAGGAACACTCCGGCAGTGGTTACTGCCATCGCGCCGGTGCCGTCCCAGAAGATACGCGGATCAGGCAGCATATCGCGCCATGAAGTTGCGGCGCCTTTCTTGGGCGGGAGACGACTTCTGCAGAGGAGAACGCTTATTACGCAGAGGAAGAGAAGCACAAAGCCTACGATGCGGGTTGCCCAGGCCCAGCCCACTTTTGGGAGCAGGGATTGCATCATGAGGGGGAAGAGGACGCCGCCGAATCCGCTGCCGGTGAACGCGAAGCCGGATGCTTCACCGCGGCGTTTATCGAACCAGTGGGATATGGCGCCCATTGCTGGGGTGAAGAGAAACGAGTTGCCGATACCGCTCAGGATGGAGAAGGCGAGGATAAATTGGTAGTACTCTTTATCCTAGCATGTTAGCAACTTCACTGGAATTGATGGTGAGAAGCCAACCTGTGCATAAACCTAATGTAAACGTTCCCACTAGCAGAAAGACGCTCCCTATCAAGATGAGCTCCCTAGGGCCCCTGGCGTCAAATATTGGACCAACCTGTAAGCCGCAGAAGTAGGAAACGAAGACATAAATGCCGAATATCCACCCCGTAGAGTCCGCGGAGGTGTCTGCCAGCAGAGTCGTCGAAACATATGCCTCCAGTACACCCACCGAGTTCACAACACCGAGGCCCGCGGTCATGCAGCACCAAGATCCCAGCGCGACTGTCCAGGCTGCGATACCTCCTTCCGGGTAGCTGATTATTTCATCCTGAGATGCATGGACCGGTTGTGTCAAAGGCTTCTCCGAGCACTGCGATGGCTTCTCAGATGAGACCTGTGGGCCGTTCATTTCGAGAACGGTTGACACGAGTATACTGGAGAATAAAATTAACAGGAGATAATTGAGGAAAAGAATAAAAACGAACAACGAGTCTAAGACAGTGCAAGGAGGGGCAACGCCAAGTGTTGCAAGATCATGAGTAAGAAGAGCTGCGCAATATTGCATCAGAGTGATTGGTGGGAAGGCGTCCATCAAAGGACTGGACTCTATTGTTATAGTGGTCAGCCTAATCTACGTCAGAGCAAAAGTACCTGAGTGATTCCTGATAATCCCTGTACGGATCTAACGAATCTAACTGATCAAGGTAGTCTACCACTGTCGATCCATGCAACCAGATGGCACTAAAGAGTCCTTATATAATTGCGTTGACAGAGGTGGCTGGCCTTCCCCGCACACATATTGAATTCCAGATTCTCGCAATAATCTTTGTAGGTTAAAATTATCATCCTTGCTATTTACATATGAAGAATCACGGGTTGCTCTATTTGGCCATTACCTAACGTCGTTCAGACACCTGGAAAACCACAGACTTGTCCCCGGTCTCCTGCCACAATTTCACCACAAAATCGCCCGAGTATTCTCTGGCCTTCTGGAACTGCTCCCGGGTGTATTTAAGGCAACTATTAGTTAGTACGTACTTCTTGTGCCCATTGACGCGGACCGGAGCAAGCGTGGTGGCTACATTCACGCTTCCAATCTCGGTCTGCAGGGGCAACAGGTAAAAATCATGCTTTCTGGCTGCAGATGCTGCAGATCCCGAGGCTGCGGCAGCACCATCCGATCCTGACTCAAAGCATTCGCCAACCAGGCCTGAGAAACGATTCATTTCCGGATGCTGATAGAATTGTTCGATGAGGCCCGGATCAGCACCGCCGCCAAAAACCTGCATTTCTGAAAGCAGAATGTCGCCCGGCCGGGTGATGCTCTTCAACATCGGTCCAATTCGAGCAGGCAGGTCATTACCCTCCTGGAAACCAAGGTTGGTCACAACGGTGACTAGGTTCTCAGAAGAGGCAGTTTCGTCTTTAGGCTTTGGGAAACCGGCTACGGAGCATTTGTAAAAATCCTCGACCCAGTAGCTGAATTTTTCTTCTCCGATTACAGGTACCAAAGCCTTACGCATGGTCTGCTCGGATTCGGGATTGATATCGATGCCCACGTACTGGCGAAGCCTGACGCCCGCAGCTAGGAGTCGCTCGAGGATGGCCCGTGATTTCCAAGGCTCGGGGCCCAGCTCAACATAGCGGATTGGGCGGTTGTCGGCGAGCATGGCAATTTCATCCGCAGCCTGAAGCAGAGCATCGCGGAAGGATGGCCCTAGCTTTCCAGCGCAGGTGCGCGGATCTTCCAGTGCCAGGCGGTTAAGGGTGGCCATGGTGTTGAATATGGCAGCCAGATTCTGCTCCTGGTTGGTGTTCTGTTTGAATCCATGGGGCTGGTATTTGGACGAGTTATCAAGCACAATCAGCTGCTCTGGTTGGATGCTGCTCTGAGAAATGAGCGCATGCGCAACCAGATCATTGAACGCTGGAAGTGTGGTGACAGTCATCTTGATAGCTGAATTGTTCAAAATGGTAGATAAGTACACTGGTTAATGTGTCAGTCATTCGAGAGCCTGCGGTGCGGACTGAAACCATCCCCATATTTATAGTTCGTGATTAAGGCCATTACTCAATCTCACTTTCTCAAGAAGACACATCCGTCCTCCTCGATCCTGGGCTGTTTGTATCCATGAACATCATTCTTTCGTCAGTCGTGGTTGTGTTCGCTGCAACATCAAAAATAGCTGCGAGAACGGCACCAATCTAGCTGTATCAGGACATCCCGAGCCTGGTATTTCAGCGATAGACCCCAAAAGACGGCCGCGCCGGCTCCATCTAAGACACAAGTATTAGCTAAGTCCTCGTATTACTCACACTGATTATATGAGATCGTCTCTTGAGCATATGCTGGACGACCAATCATGCTTTCGCTGATTGCAGCGAAGGAAGTCTCCATCTTGGGGTCTGGAGGCACATTGCTAGGATTTGAATCCTCCAAGCCTCAATCGGGACACCTATTGGGAGATTGTGGACACATTGACGCTTGATGCAGAGTTAATATACGTATGTGCAGCGAGCTCGCGGAAACAGATTGCTGTGACGATAGACGTGACAATGGGTAGCCTTGGTAGTCTCCAGCCTATGAAAGGTGATGTACGTGAACATTGCGACACATGCTAATGCAGTATACAAGCCAGTTATCTCTAGCCTCGAGACTTCGGCTACACGTAAGCATAAGCTGATCTTCCTGCAGTCATGTTATGCAGCAGTAACCTGTTTGCAGATACAAGGATATATAAGCCACAGCGGATGTCCTTTTGCATATTCGACATGGTGAACCAGGGGTAGCATCTCCTAGCTGCAGGCCGAGGAATTTAATGAGCTCCAAGCAGGTTTATAAATGGTTGATATTACCCGGCTGAATCAGTAGAAGACACATCGGTACGTCAGCCGAGATTCTTCCTATGTCTAGCGTCGCGAGATCCAGTTTGAAGCAGGGGTACAATACACGGGAGAACGGCCCGCCAATGGATGGCCTGCCGATCCTGTCGATCAGCCGGGATCATGGGCTGTTTATTTTGGAGATCGCTTCAGTGCCAAGGAGCTTGTAATCAGTCCACGTATTCAATTTGGGGAAATCAGATATGCCGCAAGTCACCATCGTTATCCTGTTCATCCTGTTCACCCTGTTCACCCGTAATGGAGAGGCCGCAACTCGACGAAATGGTTAGCTCATTAAGGTACCTACACAGAGATTTTCGAGCTCTCACAAACCGGCATTTAGGAAACAAGTGAGCAGCGCGCCAAGTCAGGATAATCTTGCCGGATTGTTCCAGTAGAGCATTGCTCGGTGGAAACTGCGAGTCTGCGACAGACGGAGTATAAGCTATGTTCTGCGACAACTTCTAGTGTGTGCAGCATACAGCTAAAGGATAATTTCAATATCCCAATCTGCATGACAGCTTCTTTAACGCAAGCGGTTTTTGTAACAATCATGGCCCTCAATGTGAGGTAGTGCCAGGTGTGCCTTAATCTTTCCGATATTGCCCACTGCAGCCTTCTGATTGAGAGCCTCTTGGTAATCTATACGGAGCCTCGTCGAACAGAATGCGCTCCAAGGTAAGCCCTGTGTCAGACATGCACATTCATCACAGTGCTCACTAGGCTGTCGTGGACATTGTGAGGCGCTAGTCCCGATATTACACAGGCCATAAGTCTTGCCCAAACCGCCCCTTAGAGACCACTCTCGTGAAGCGAGATCCAAACTGCACTTCAGCTGGAGAGACCAGCTAGCTAATTGTCAAGGGTGCCCATAGCTATGGTACGCTTCATGGGCTACTGCCGTTCACTACTTTTGGATATGTTACCGGCCCCACGTTTCCTGGCTATCAACAATCCTCTTACCAGGCGGTGTAACGGACAAACGAAGCTTGCAGATCAATATACTAGAGCAGTCGCTTTGATGACCTTAAAAATCATTGTGACACTCCTTTCTCTGTCAAGGGGTGCTGCTGTCCATAAAAAGCTGCATGGCATTATTACCCCTTGACAAAATGAATGGACAACGATCTTGTGCGGCTGCCCTCGCTGCCAAGGCTGGAACTGACGGGGCCATCTTACTCGGCTGGAAGTCCGTGCGGCTGTGTGTGGCTGAGCCAGCTGCTCCCATCGTGGACTTTCAATAGGCTGCTGAATATGCGCCGTAAGTATGTGCCCATTGGCTTTCCTTCCAAGCTTGGCGGCAAGTCGCACTGCTCGCAAATATCTAGCTCGTATGTTGCGGGCGGCAGTTGGTGCTAGGCGGTTTTTATAATGTGGATGCCTACACTCCAAGTAGCAGGCAGCTACAGGAAGGGCGAGCACACTGGAAGGCGATGTGAATCGTTGTATTACAGGCGAGCAAAGTGTTTTCTGATAGAATGACCACTTGCGAACGATTCTGAATAGGTGCTCCACTCAGGCCAATTGACTGGTATGACGATCTGAGCCGAGTCTTCACCCCTCTGGACTTGGGCTTTCGAGCCGAACCGGTTAGAAGTGACGTTTCGCACAAGCAGGATGACCCAATGCAGCAGGGTAGGAGAAATGTCCCCCACTGTCCCAGTCACATCGAGCATCTTTTGTGCTGGACTAGGAATTTTAGTGTATAGATGGCTAAGTAAAGGAGGCTTATATGTACTCCAGGGCTGTGGTGGTGTTGGACTTAAATTCCTCTAGCTTGACTAATTTAACATTATAATTTGATCTCAGAACCCAGCTGAGGAGAATGCGCATTGCACTAATACGTGTAACTTAGGTATAGCCTGATTTAAAAGTGAAGAAGCTTTTCTATTTTCAGCCCTGCAGCATTCCAGGCCTGATAGCAGGTTCTTTTCACTACGTGGCTATTAACTAGAGGTGTCTGGGTGCTTAAAATAACATGTGTGGAAGTAAGCAGCAGAGGTTTAGGCAGGATCAAGAATAATGCCCTTAACATGGAGGAATAATGTCAGTAATTAGAAGTTATGTGGCATTTTGTACATGGACCTGAAAGATTACTAACACCTTGCTTTGTGATTCGGGCATTCCTAACCTTAATTCTAATCTTAATTTCAACCTCTCTTCCAGTTGTCTAATTAGTTTATCCCTACCATCCTTGTAAAGTAGCAGAGCAGGGAAACACATAATCAGTCTTTGCCAAAGGCTTGTGGCTGGGGGTGGTCGCAACCATAAAGGATAGTCAACTCCCATTAAGGGCTTCTGCTTCTAACATAATAAAATATGATTGCTCTTTTAGGGTCTGGTCTATGAATATATATTTAAGCTGAAGGATTTCGTATCTAGTATGACATATTTGGAACAGCTTTAGCTCTGGGCTCTATTCAGTAATTGTTATCACTTTAGGCCATTCCTGTTTAACTGCTAGCTGCCGGCCTTGGGTGATGAAGGAATGTGGCCTACCTCACTCTTAGATAGGAAGAATAATACAGCTGGATGTCTTGATGTACTACGGGTATTGAATTTACCTCCAAACCTCACGCCACAGAGTGGATGGGTTATTAATTATATGTGACTGTGAGAGCACCACACGATCCTCACCCCTATACTGATAAACCCTGTGAAGTCTTGGTACCTAAGCACTCATGGCCCCTGAGCACTTCTGGCCCTGTGACCCGCCTGACCCCATATGCCATAGACCTATGCGTTACGACCGGTGCAATAAAGCGTCTTTTGAAGGGCCTTCCCCGATGTCTGGACGCCCGAGTATCCAAAATCCTCTGGTGTCAGAATCTCTTGGTAGCTGAACCTTTTATTGTCCGAACCCCAATAGTGTCTGGATAGCTGGAGTCTAGCTTCCTGGCGGACTGTGGCCCATGCTTTGCCCTTTTTGAAAGCAATGAGATAGTTGTAACGGATTTCGCAGGGCTCTGGGCAGCAGGCCAGGATCTGAAGCTAGTGCTTTCTGGCCCGAGGTACGCATACCCGTGATGCAGCAAGGCCAGTGGATTACTTTTTACAACGTATCGACCGTTTACCATAGCATAGCAGATAGACACCAAGAGGGTTCAGACGCCGAAATTTATGGATCCCAAAGGGTTCAGAAACAGGGGGGGTTCAGACATTAAAGTGTCCAGGAAACAGAAGAGTCTGGACTAAAGCGTTTAGACACCAAGGGCGTTTAGACGCCGAAGTGTTCATACTTCGGTTTTTGACTCTGTTGATGTCAATTTAGTGGGCCGGCCCAGTTGTGGATTGGTTACATTAACGTAATC